TTTGTCAGTATCAATGAACCAGAACACAATGAAGATGAATCCACATAAGACCATTTTTCATTCATCTTTATTCATTCATCTTTATTATTCTGGTTCATTGATACTGACAAATTAATTGTCTCTAAATAGCCGCTATTTGTTAGTATTTAGTTTGATTTTATTTCATGGTTTTCCTACGTTTGCTCTAAATCAAATCCACAAAATATAATTATTATAATATTATTAATAATAAGATGCATTTTTGTGTAGGTTTTGGTGTCTATAGACGTAAGCCGACCTAGTAGTCTCCTCACAGCCATGTTTAGTTTCGGTCACACCTAACGCCACATGTGACCAAAACTAAACGCGGCTGCAAGGAGACTATGCAATGCCAAACCACATTCAATACTGGTGTTGGGGACCTAGCCACACCATTATAGAACCAAACCTCAATTTACATTTGAATGAACACAGATAGCAATCAAAAATAGGACACAGTTGTCTGGAGCTTGAAAAACTGAGAATTGGTTCTGATGGAGTTTCCACTAGGTTCAATACACCAATATTGTAAGTGGGTTCTTGGCTTTTTTTTCCATCAAAACAAAATATCGGCACTGTGAACCTAAGTGAGTTGTTCTTTGTTATCAAAATTGCATTCATTAGCAAATTAAAAGTTTTCRTACCTATAACACAACATGTTTCCTCTCTGTATTTATCTATTTGACATGTATGATGAGCAAGATAGCTCAACTCAGGCTTCATTTCCTAAAAAAAAAGAAACAAAATGAATTATAAAAATACAATGGAATTATCCCTTAGAAGCGGTCATCCTTTAGAAACAGAAAAATGTCTGTTGGAGGACTTTCTGCCTTATGAGAAATACTGATATAGTATTCTTATGGAAGATTAAATAGAAAACAGGCTTTTAGAAAGCTGTTCATAAAGCTGTCTGCTTACAAGATTGTYTGCACACAAGGATTTGACTGTAATTTCATAACATATTATAAATGGTATTATTTCAGGTAGTGAGAARGAACAACTACAGAAGATTATGCATAGGTTCCTCAGGACRTTATTATTAGGGGTGTTACAGTTTTATTTTTACAGTTTCAAGACTGAAGAAAACAATTAACTACAAAATTGCACGAGTTTTGTTTTGTATTCATACCAAACAAACTGTTGACTCAGCTGAAAATGTTTTACYCTTCTATTGATTTGTTAAATTAAATCTCAACTTTCAAAGACTCTCTCTGCCAAGGAAGGGGTGTTCTTACCTACATACCCCAAATTTCGTACCTTTACATATAGTATATTAGAATATGTATCCATTTGGTCCAATGAGTAGGGGTCTTTCTTTTGTAAATCGGTGAACAATTCAACTGCTTTATCAAAGTCTAAATTAAAAATTAGGTTCTAGTAAGTTATTTCTGATATGAGAAAAGCTTATAGCTCATTAATAATTCTGATTCATAATGTAAACAAATGAAAAATCATTCTTTGACCATATCATGAGCAGGAGATCCTGAATTTTGCATTACTACTTACTTCGATTTTCTTTAAATAAAATTATATTTGAAGGTTTTAGTAAAATATTTTATATAGTCTGTTGGYGGTAGTCAGCTASACAAYATGCTCCCARTGGTGTGTGAGAAGATAATTTAWCTTCAAAGTTTTTAGTAAAATATGCTAATAGCTTATAGCTGGAATTTGATAAGCAATATAATATTGYGTCCAACCYTTATGGGCTWTWAAAACTGCTCACTTGCAGCTCRCARTTTTAAATCCCTGCAAAGGTCTCCTGCTCATATAATTATTATCAATAATCACTAAAGCTTTAAATTGTTTTAGTGTATGGACTCTTGTATMCCTGGATTAGACACCATTGGATTTCCTTTGCACAGCAAATCAAAATAAGCCATTKCTGAATAATAGGGGTGGCGAATGGTAAAATCCGAGATCCGTCGAGACGCCGAGATCGCTGTTTTAAAACCCGAGATCAAGATGTTAAAAATTTCCAAATTCCGAGAAGCAAGATTAATGTTTTTATGTTCTTGTTTATCGAGTAAACACAGAAAAAACATTTATTTAGAACAATTATGCATTGAAAAATTCTTATAAATCAACGCTCTCGAGAGCATGCCAGCAAATCAAAATCCGAGATTTTGTTGTAGAAATTCCGAGATCCGAGGCCAAAAAATTTGCCGGAAACACGAGATTCCGAGATCCTTTTTTGGCAGTCCGAGATATCGAGATTCTACCAAAAATTCCCAAGACCCAGTTATTTCTAGGTACCATTCGACACCCCTAATAATTGCTATAATAACATTGAAATTACCTCTAGTGTGATAGCTAGCAAGTGCTGTCTGTAGAAGCACATAGCTACTCTTGYTAAATCCAGTAGTGGCAAGGTCATGGTATCTCTGCAAACCTTCTTCATTTACTTGCACCTCTATGGCAACATGGGCTAAGAAAAACTCTTGCATCCAATGTGATGGCAGAGTAAGGCTATGCAACTTGACAAAAAAAGGAAATCACATTAGTCATGGGTTTTTTTACAATCCCATGAGAATCTAGTAGGAGTACATTATATGAAATAGGCAGCTTTGAAAACATATGTATATGAAATATACTGGAACAATAAATATACTGGAAAGTAATAAAATATTATTCTTTAGAATTTCTTAGATCATCCTCCCAGCCTTACTGGACAACAAAGAGGTGTCTTCGAAAGATGTCTAGGGTCATCTTGTCTCAGAATGAAGAAAAAAATATAATTTATATATGTTAATCAGTGGCAGCCATTTTGGCAAGGATTTCTCTCCAACAATAAAGTGTACAACTATTTCATTTATCGTACCATATCTTTATCTGTTATCAAGGAGCCCAATTCTAACCAGCTTCCCCAGTGCAAAGGCTCTTTGTCAACTGCTTCTAATAAAACTGACAGGGCTTCTTGCTTGAGGTTCAACTTCTTGAGAACCACGCCATATCTACAACAACACATGAAGATTAGTAAATACAATGGGCAACCTCTACTTGTAGACATCGCTTTGTTGTGGACATACAGTGTACACCTCTCTATCTCTAAAACCTCTATAGACCATATGAAAAAGGGTGTGGCTATTTTAAAGCCTTTATTTGTAAGATGTTTAATATATCATTACTACCTGCTGAAAGAACATGCAATAAATAAGATCTGAAAGTTTCAATACTCTACTATTGAGGGACCAAAAAMTATAGGTGTTTGAAATTGCAAAGGTTTAAGTGAAAAACAGTAGTGAGGCCTTACCAGCCTCGTTTTTGCGTTTTTAGTAAAATTCAAATGCTTGTAACTCTGCTGATTTTCAACGTTTCAAACTAAAAATCCTCCACTTTATACACTCTTTCTTATGGTGAAAACAAATTTTTTAAAACATGGAACATTTAAGGTGCTCATTCCCAGTCTTCTGCTCGTTTTTCATATGGTCCATATGTAACACTAAGGCAAGAACAGGAGGGACATTAAATCATGGAACTCAACCTTGTACTCAAAGAATTTTTGTGACATTTCTTACAAATACAAACAAAATCCATCYAAAGTCTTGTGCTTTTCAGAAAACATCTCTCTTAGTGAAGTTAGTTCTTTATTTTCAATAACTTCCTGAGGTCCTAAAATAAAATTTCAATCATTTTTAGTTTTGAATTCTTATCTGGTGAGAAATTTCACTTTTTGAAAGCCTACATTATTTGTTATTAACAAATTGTTAAAACGTTTGAACTACCTAGGATATCCACAAGATTRTCATTTTTATGCTTTTCTCCAGCCTGGAAAACAAGATATTTTCAATACGAATTGTCATAATATAATAAGGAAATACACTTAATTCAAAAAACGTTGTCGGGGAGAACGACGAACGGCGATTGTCGAAGGGAGAATGAACGACTGAAAGGGACTATGGTTACACTGTTTGACATACAAAAAATTCAATTGTTAGGTTTACTTGCGTGAAAATGGAGACTAAATGGAGCCAATGATGACCATAGAAAATCTTATGGTAAAAATTAGTCATTATTCCCCATCCATAAGCAAAACCCATGGCTACTTTCGGTCGTGCAATCGCCGTTTGACAATTGCCATTCGCCATTTTATCCGACAACCTTTTTTGAAATAGGTATATATAAGGAAAGAAAAGATCTGATGCCATCCACCAAGAGGGATGTACAAAATCTACAATCAACTCAGATGCAGCTACAAAAAAAAAACATTGAAGATATTCTTCGATTTCACAGCAGACATCTTGGAGAACCCTTAACAAAGGATTTCTCAATACTAACTATTGTTTTTTCCTCCAACATGACCGCTAATCTTTTATCTTTTGAATTTAATATGGGAATGATTGAAAAGAATCTAATTGTGAACAGAAAGAAGAGAGAATCTCTACCTCAGGCTTTCAAAAATACACACCAAAAATCTAGAATACATATGAAGAAACAATCCCTTATTGCTTTGACAGTCTTTCAGGAAGAACGCAGCTCTTTCAAACTCTTTGCAATCAAAGAGMGACTTGCCCAATGAGAATACATCAAATTCTTGAATAAATTGCGAGTCTTGGTAGTCAACCTGAGGAACCAGCTGGGCTGTGRTGGATATGTTCAAGGAACACGCAAGTTCAGCTGACCTGTAATTCATTGAATAATATTCATAAAAATTACTTATATAAATATGATGGATAAAAAAATCAATAAAATTCAATAGGAACAAAAGGAAAAACACTATAGCAAGTTAGATTCTGATACATATGTTTACTTTAATTACTATGCTATAATATGAGGAAGACCCAGCAAAATACTGTTGGAAACTTGTGGAGGACGGATAGAAACTAGAATTCCTGAGGAAAAACCCMCAGGGMATGGGAAAGAACCACACTACAAAATCAAAACGCATTACGCTTCGAAACAGGATGAAATTGAACTCCGAYGCAGATCGCATCTACGCTTACYATCTAAGCTGTTAATTATCATTAAAGACGATCTTACCATTTAGCAGAATGAAACAATCCTCTGTCAGAGCATTCTTTTGCAGCGTAGAGAAGATCTCTTTTTACTTCTGCTTTTGACACATTGAACATGGTCGCCATCTTGGATTTGAAAATGGCGCGAATGTTGGACGGTAGAGGCTGGGACGGCAGGTGAAAAATGATCAGGAATCCCAATTTTGGTATTGCTTTTGATGGCACATGTGCGGTGCGGACAAAGTTACACCCCTCCCGAAAACATCTTACAAAACTGAAATTGTCGGATCGGCATAATCGAATAATATCGCCATAGATACCAAGGGCTATCCCAAAATTCAATTGGTGTGATTTCAACTGAACCGATATCCTAATTGGATAGTCATAAACACAATAAAAGAAAGTCCTCATTGAGAAATGCAAAGTGCCATATCTGCTGTCAATCAATTACTCAATTAATCAATTACGGAATACTGGATTTAATTTGAAGATACTTTCTTCGTTTGTTAATTTTTTTTTACTTTATTTTGTTTGGCCTTATGGGGCCTCTCATACTATGTCATCGTGTTTAAGGACCGAACCGTAGCCATCCACTTGTAGCAGGCCTTCCTTGCGAGCCTTAATACGTTTAAATAAAAAAAATCTCTAGAGAAAAGCAAACAAAATAGCATTACAGCAAAGAAAAAAAAAGAAAAAAAAAGAGAAAGAAGAAAAGAACAAACTAACAAACTGAACAATATAGTGGAAGAAAAAAAGAGAAATCTCAAAAGCAGGACTCGAACTCAGGACTTTCACTTCAGTAGAAGATGTAACCCCCCCGGAATACATATGAAATAATGAAAATTAAAAAACTAAAAAGATGGGACGATTCCCCCGAGACATTMTRYGAARCTGAGGCGTCGAATCGGCTTACGTTACGGTTAGAGATTTCGGCTCTTCCACGCTATCCCGAGTGAACATAAAACTTAGTCTTAACCAAAAGGCCAGGGAGTGAGGGGGTAGCCGCCCACTAGAGCATACCTTTAGCTACCCTCTTAGACCATCGTACTATGAAGACACTTATAGATATCTAACATCTAATGGGGGTAGTCTATTCGGTGAAGTTYTATGCTAATATATGACGTCACCAAAATCCTTAGAGAGCAGCGGGCCAATCAGAGCTCAGCACAGGAATTTTTGAAGAGTTTTGCATAATCATTGGTTCTTCAGTGGATTTATTATTTTACGGGGGAGGGGATGGGTGCTGAGTGCTTTTTTGCGTCCGAATACTGAACGGATCTACTCGATGAACTGTGACTGCTCTTTTCTCGTTATTGTTTTCCAAATCATCGCAGGAAAARGTGCATAGTTCTTATGTCAGACGGAAATTACTACATTCGGATGAACATTACCACAAAAATCTCTGCAAATTCTTAACTTGAGCGCTTTAAAGACCAGACAGGCACTAGCTGTTGCAAAAGATTTACCGGGATTCAACGGAATACAATTGATGACTCTGAAACTACAACATTGCACTCGAACGTTCCACATTTTCGTTATTAATCATATAAAAGTATACAAATGGATTAATATTGGTTATCAAATAACTATATCAAACGTAATTATTGTGAATGTTGATAATTGAAGAGAATGAATGATGTTCAGCAGTATTAATTGGATAAAGAAATGAAGAAAAACGTTCGGTTTTATTGCAAAACTATAATCAGGTATAAACATACAGAAGAGAATTGATTATGACTTTATAAGCCGTGAACATGCAGATACTGAAAGATTTTTTAAATACGGCTAAATTAAAGCTMTATGTCATGGATAAAAATTACTTTTTCCAAATCTTTCAGATATGTTCATTAGTCAGGGAAACAGGGCGCCCCGAGTCAAGCCCCCAYGGGAGTAATGAAAATCACGAATAGGTTCCGTTGTCCCCTGGGAATCGCCGCATTGGTGTGTTGTATTTTGTGGCAATTTGTTTGATCGCCACGTGATGCTTCCAGTTCCTTCTGCAACGTATACAGCTAATTCGGAAAACGTTGAATGCTAAAGATTATATATTTCTTAATCCAGCGCGATCCAGCGCCCGATGGTTTCTCATTGATCAAAAAAATCTAAAAAAGCCACGTCTTTGAAAACGCTGTGACACCTGCTATTAGGACATGCACGCTCCTAGTAATGGGCTCCTGCGTTTATTAAACGATTAAAATAATCATCCAGTATATACAAATACGCGTAACCATCCTAGACTCGTACCCAGTCGTTTCTCTTGCTCGTTTCTTACGTTTCACGGGTTGCGGTGCATCAAGGGAAGTCCAAACTACCGGGGAGAAACGGACTGTCGGAGAAACGTCGTTACTTTTTCCTCCAACTTCCCTTGAACCTTTGCGCGCGCCAGAGAAAAAGAATCACAACTGGGTACGAGTCTGAGGTCATAGAAGTAGAAAGTGAAGTTCAGGGACGGATCCGGTTGACGGGTGCAGGGGATGCGCACCCTCTCCGACTTCCCTTTATTTTGTGTAGATTCTTGATAATTTTATGAATTGCGCTCCCTCCTAAGAGCCCTGCACCCCTACCTGAAGAAAATCCTGGATCCGCCATGAAGCTACTCATATGTATACGTATAGATCTAACAATTATTTATGCTATATTATGATGTATGTACAGTCAATTGCAAAAATTCTGTCCACCAACCAACACATATATCTTTATATCGGCTAAGTACCATGGGTTATTTCATTATGTTTTTTTTGGTGTGTGTACTGTTTTTCTAATAAATATAAAATTGCAAATAAAACTCTTTCAAATAAATAAGAATAATATAATAATAAAAGACGATAAATTATTTTGAAATTGTAATATGTTTTCAACATAGGTCCCAATGCAACATAGTTTGTTCTTCATACCTTCACGAATATACGATAATCTCAGAGATACAATGACCGGGTTCAATAAGGACTGCAGATGGATGAACGTTACGGTCAAGCCAGGAGTTAAGATRAAGCTGGACATATCTCCACCATTTGCGGCTAGTACGATGGCTTTAATRATGAATGGACAATAGAGAAGAATCGAGGCGAGTACTAGTAAAATCATAGTAAATGCTCGCTTGTATTCCTCAAGTCGCCTTTGTTGTTCTTCGTGTTCTGCTTGTTGCAGCTGTAGAGTCGCGGCTTGTCCATTGATGGCTATTCTTTGCCGGTAAGCGGTGACTTGTACTTTGATCGAGCAATAAAGTATGATGAGAACACACAAACCGACAAACACTGCGGATGGTACTTTTTTCAATGAGCTGTTGTCGTTTAAAAGGATTCTGACTGATATCACTGCAGTTGGGAGGACAAAACACATCAAGGTCGTGWTGACAATKATTTTCTTGGTTGTGACGTTTTCCAGGTAGAACTGTGAATGTTCTATGGAAAGATACCTCTCTAAGCTGGAAGCTGCGAAGATMACCAGAGTACAACCACCGCACAAGATCAATATTATGACGTAAGCGGTKAAAATACACGATGTTGAACATCCCACGGCTTCGCATACGACCAGAAATGAAAATAGAGGCTCTACTAAAAGACCTACAAGAAGGTCGGTCACTGCCAGAGCGGCAAGCAAAATGTTGTAGTTGACTTTCCTCAGACTCTCATCCTTCGCCACCGTCCAAATAATTAACAGGTTAATTAGGATGGTCAAGGGAGAAGCAATGGTGTT